AAGTGTGTTTAGCAAAATTCTAGACTTTAACAGTCTTTTTCTTATTGTAAACACATGTTTAAACACAGGATTTGGAAACCATATAAAATGTAATTTGAAGCCTGGCAAAGTCTTCAGGGACAATATGTTTGATTTACAAAAACTGGAGCATGACAATTATGGAGCAGCTCTGCAAAGAAACCAATCAGCTTTCAGGTTTTATTGTCAAAGTAGTTAGAAGCTGATTGGCTACCATGCACAGCTGCTCTGGATTATGTGCGCTCCAGTTTTAGTAAATCAACCCCAATGTGTGCTGGAGTGACTATGGTGCAAAACCAGATCCCAATTAGCGTTCACCCGTTATAAATCTGCCTTCCACACCTACACCTCCTCCCTCCATGCTGCCAAACAAGCCTACTTTCTGACCCTCATTAATACCCCCTCCTCCAATCCTCGCCAGCTCTTCTCTACTTTCAACTCTCTACTCTCTCCGCCCCCACTTCCACCCAGTACCTCACTCACCACCCACGAGATTGCCAATCACTTCAAAAACAAGATTGACACAATTCGCAGGGACATCGCCGCTGCTCAGACTTCCACCCCACCTATCACCTCTCACACGGTAACCCCCTCAACACCCCTCTCCCTTGGCCTCACCACTGTCCAGACCTTCACCCTACCTAACATCCCTCACACTGAAGCCCCCTCAACACTCCACTCCTTTGACCTTACTACCACTGAGGAGATCACTAAGGTCTTCTCTGAAGCTTCACCACCTGCCCCCTCGACCCTGTCCCCTCACAACTCCTACGATCACCCTCCCCCTCCATCCTACACTCCCTCACCCACATCTTTAATCTCTCCCTCTCTTCTGGCACATTCCCCTCCCCTCTGAAGCACGCGCACATCACTCCCATACTTAAAAAGCCCTCCCTGGACCCCACCGACCCGAACAACCTTAGACCCATCTCCCTGCTGCCATTTACATCCAAACTCCTTGTGCACTTAGTCTATAATCGCTTAAGCTCCCACCTCAACGACAACAACCTCCTCGACCCCCTTCCGTCCCCTACACTCCACCTAAACTGCCTTACTCAAACTCACCAGCGACCTGCTAACCGCCAAAGCTAATGGCCACTATTCAGTGCTCCTACTCCTCGATCTCTCCGCAGCTTTCAAAACAGTCGACCACCCCCTCCTCCTCAAAAAACTACACTCCCTTGGCCTCAGAGACTTCGCTCTCTCCTGGCTCTTGTCCTAGCTATCACAACGTTCCTTCAGCATTACATATAACGCTACCACCTCCCCCTCACTCCCCCTCTCTGTTGGGGTCCCTCAAAGCTCTGTCTTCGGGCCCCTTCTCTTCTCCATCTACACCTCCTCCCTTGGTCAACTGATACACTCTTACGGCTTCAACTACCACCTCTATGCCGACGACACGCAAATCTATCTCTCGACCCCTCGCCTCACCCCTTCAGTCTCCACCCGAATCACTAGCCTACTGAACGACATATCAGATTGGATGCCGCTGCACTTCCTCAAGCTGAACCTCTCCAAAACCAAGCTCCTAGTGTTCCCTCCAGCCAACGCACCCCCCCCCTACTGACTTCTCCATCACGTCAAACAATGCCACCATCAGGCCCACCCCGCAAGCAAGTGTACTTGGTGTCATTCTTGACTCCAATCTATCCTTCCAGCCCCAAGTCCAATCGCTAACAAATTCATGCAGACTCCACCTCCATAACATCTCCAAAATACGCCCATTCCTACCCCCAGAAACTACTAAGCAACTCATCCACTCCCTCATCATATCTCTAGTTCCCTGGTCTCCTCCTCCCATGCCCGCTTCCAGGACTTCTCCAGGGCATCACCCATCCTCTGGAACTCCCTACCCCCATCCTCCCCAATCCATCCGACTATCACCTACTCTCCTCTCATTTAGGCACACCCTGAAAACCCACTTCTTCAGGGAAGCCTACCCCGCCCTCTGCTAATTGCTGATCTGCTCCACTCTTCCTACCACTCCATCTCCCACAGCTTTTCCTCCCATACCACTATCCCCTCCCTCCTAGATTGTAAGCTGCAAGGAGCAGGGCCCTCGAACCCCTCATGTATCGCATTGTATTGTTATTGTACTGTCTCATGTATTGTCTACCATTGTAATGTACAGCGCTGAGCGAACTGTTGGCGCTATATAAATACTGTATAATAATAATAATAATAATAATAAATAAAATGTGTAAAAAAGGTCCTGAAAAGAACTATCTAATAAACCACAATGCAGCTATTAAAGATAAGAAAATTAATAAATCTGGCAAGCTGCTACTTGCAGTATTAATGCCTTCTTTCACACAATAATAATATATGTGGCCCACTGTTTCTCTCACAACTTAACTAAAAGAATTTGAGATGAGCTGGTTTATTTATTTAAAAAATTCATTTCTTCTTTCATTGTGTTCCTGTAGCAAGAAACAGTTGAATTACTCCCTTTGATATATTTCCCAGGCTTCTAAAAGTCTTGCACAGCTCAGATCTTGATGACATAGGCATGCCCCAGAATTACATCTCCCAAAAACCCTCTCCCTACACATGGGGTCTATTTTTAAAGCAGTGAATGCAACTTTCAGCAAATATCTCTGGTAGAGAATCGCCCAGGTCCATGTGCTACAAATTGACAGTGATTGATTCTCCATCAACAAATATTGGTAAAGTCACATTCACTGCTTTATCCAATACTGGTTTTTGGCAAGACAGCAGCACTATTTTGCTGTGAGAGAAACAATGGTTGCATGTAGAGAAGGACAGTGTGGGAATAGGCAGAGACCAATAGCAAAACAGGGAGCCTGACAACAATGCTTAGGATTTTAGCACACAAAAAGGCACTGGGTTGTCAGTCTAAACAGAAATTCGGGAGTACACTGAATTTCTGGCAGATCAGCAGGTATTTTTCCATACTTGCAGTGCTTTTAAAAGGGATAAAACATGGGGAAATGTGTATGTATTTCAGAACTGTACTGAATATGGTTTTACATTGCCATGACCCAACATTCAATCGTTTATAAGGAGCTGACATTTTCAGAAGCACTTGGTGGAGAATATGGAAGTACTTACATTAGTCCATGCCTCTGAAAGATCTTGCAGTCTACACTCCTTTATATATACTGTATATTCAATCACACACACTGCCTAGCTAACCACTTTACACCGATTGTTTTTTGAGCTGTGGTCATTAAATAGAGCACTTAGATAAAACGCATGAATGTGGGGGGATAACACATAAAATCATGCAGCTATTATAATTTTGGGGGCCAAGCCCAGCACCAAGCACTGCAAGTAACAGCTACAGTATACTGACACTGTAGCATCCAAAATATTTTTTAGATATCCTTGCTCTATTGTTTCTGTTCAAAACTTCACAATAGTTTAAAATTATTTTTTTTTCTTTATTATTATAAATTATATTATTATTATTTAAATTTATGGGTTGAGTGATTATGTATGTACAGTATACTGTAGTAGACTGAAGGATATAGGCTATGGACTTAGGGGTATTTTACATACTTCCTCCTATTCCAGGAATTCCTGCTTTTTGCAGTATGCCACAGCTGCCCTTTAACCATTTGTAAAGGCTCATTCAAACAAGATTGTTTGGGCTAGATTTGCTTAATTATAAGAAATTCTTACAAGTTAATTCAGGAAAAAGATTGAGGGGTTTGTTCATTAAAGTCCCTGGCGGTATGATTAAGATTTTTGGTGCTGAAAGCTACCCATTTTTTTGCATGGAAATATGTATTTTTTTTATTGTAGGCTGTAATTTTTAGGAAAAAACTCACTGAAATCTGTCCGAACAAGAGTCTAGTAAACATCCCCAGGGTATGATATTTGAAAACACAAAATCATAAATTATAATTTAAAAAAATAATTGCAACGTTATATAAAAATAATAAAAAATTTAATTCAGAATATAATCAACCAAAAACATGAAATGCAAATAGAGCACCAAGTTCGCAAATTGGAGTAGCTCAGTCGCAAAATCGTTTTCATTTCTGAAAGAATTTCCCCAATCATTATCACTCAATTCTTCAAGTGGTTCTGATTTACACTTTTGACCTAAAGGGACACTTTTTGGACGCCATGGACATTCTTGACAAAATGCTTAATATGTATGTGAAATAGGGAAACAGCAATGTTTTTACTGTGTAAAATGTAAAAAAAAAAAAATGACATTTTTTAAAATTTTTAAATTTCCCGCCGCCGGCGGCGCCCGTAACGTCAAGGGACAGACACAGAAGCCGGATGCCGGCATCGGCCGGAGGAGATGGCCGGGGACGCTGCAGGGGACACATTGGGAACGCAAAGGTAAGTGAAGGATGCCGGAGCAAGCGCCGCATTTTCCCGAGTGTAACTGAAATGTTACCCCGAGCTACACTGGGAATACCGCTGTAGGTATAAACCCTAACTGAACGTTATTCAGTTCTACAAAGCACTAAAAATATTATAAACAACAACAGCCAGATCACATTGCTGCTAATAGGGGGAGGGGGAGACTAAACATAAAAACCGAAAAAAATGTGGTTGCAAGTGTGCACACCCTTTTATAACTGAGGATGTAGCTGTGTTCAGAATTAAGCAACCACATTCAAAATCATGTTAAATAGGAGTCAGTACACACCTGTCATCATTTAAAGTGCCTCTGATTAACCCCAAATAAAGTTCAGCTGTTCTAGTAGGGCCTTTCCTGATATTTTCTTAGTCGCATCCTACAGCAAAAGCCATGGTCCGCAGAAAGCTTCCAAAGCATCAGAGGGATCTCATTTTTAACTAGTAGCTGACTGCAGATAGCCGAATGACGGCTGCACTGCGGCCGGCCAGTTCTGGGTGGACGTCATATGACGTCCCACCAGAACGCGCTCTCCTGCGCGCCCCAGGGGGCGCGCACCCGGCGATCTCCGTGATCGCTGTGTCCTACGGACACAGCTGATCACGTGATGTGGTAAAAGGCCAATCACAGCGGCCTTTTACCACCTGATCAGCGGTGTCCAATGACACGCTGATCAGAGGGAAATGCAAGTGCCGGTTCTCGGCTGCACTTTCCTCACGCTGTCAGATCGTGAGGAAAGTACTGCCGAGAACCGGCAGTTGTCAGAGCGAGGATCGGCACCGATCATCAGGGCACTGATGATCAGTGCCCTGATGATCGGTGCCCAGCAGTGCCACCCGCAAGTTCCGCCCACCTGTGCCCAGCAGTGCGCCCACTAACTCCGCCCACCTGTGCCCAGCAGATCACCCACCTGTGCCCAGCAGTGCACAAAACCTGTGCCCAGCAGTGCATCCACCTGTGCCACGCTGCAGTGTCACACATCTGTGCCCAGAAGTGCCACCTACCTGTGCCCAGCAGTGCCACCCACCTGTGCCCACCCACCTGTGCCCACCAGTGCCACCCACCTGTGCCCACCAGTGCCACCCACCTGTGCCCACCCACCAGTGCTGCCCACCAGTGCCACCCACCAGTGCAGCCCAGCAGTGCTGCCAGTCAGTGCCACCAGTCAGTGCCCAGCGGTTGTGCCAGTGCCGCCAGTCAGTGCCCAGCAGTGATGCCAGTCAGTGCCGTCTATCAGTACCCATCATCAGTGTCACCTATCAGTGCCGCCTATCAGTGCTGCATATTAGTGCCACCTATCCGTGCCACCTCATTAGTGCTGTCTATCAGTGCCCTTTAGTGCTGCCTATCAGTGCCCATCAGTGCCGCCTATCAGTGCCCATCAGTGCTGCCTCATCAACGCACATCAGTGAAGGAGAAAAATTACCTGTTTGAAAACTTTTATAATAGAAACAAAGAAACTTTTTTTTTTTTCAAATTTTTTGCACCTTTTTTATTTATAGCGCAAAAAGTAAAGTGCCCAGTGGTGATTAAATACCACCAAAAGAAAGCTCTATTTGTGAGAAAAAAATGATCAGAATTTCATATGGGTACAATGTTGCATGACTGCGCAATTGTCAATCAAAGTGCGGCAGCGCTGAAAGCTGAAAATTGGCCTGGTAAATAAGGGGGTATAAGTGCCTGGTAGGCAAGTGGTTAAAAGGTATCAGTCAGGAGAAGGGTACAAAAGAATTTCCAAGGCATTAGATATATCATGGAACACAGTGAAGACAGTCATCATCACGTTTAGAAACAATGGCGCAACAGTGACATTACCAAGAACTGGATGTCCCTCCAAAATTGATGAAAAGACAAGAAGAAAATTGGACTGGGAGGCTGCCAAGAGGCCTACAGCAAAATTAAAGGAGCTGCAAGAATATCTGGAAAGTACTGGCTGTGTGGTACATGTGACAACAATCTCCTGTGTTCTGGGCTATGGGGTAGAGTGGCAAGATGGAAGCCTTTGAAAAAAAAAAAAACACCCAAATTATGCAAAAACACATCTGAAGTCTCCCAAAAGCATGTGGTAAAATGTGCTATGGTCTGATAAAACCAAGGTTGAACTTTTTGGCCTTAATTCCAAAAGATATGTTTGGTGCAAAAACAACACTGCACATCACCAAAAGAACATCATACCCACCGTAAAGCATGGTGGTGGCAGCATCATGCTTTGGGGCTGTTTTTCTTCAGCTGGAACTGGGTCCTTAGTCAAGCTAGAGGGAATTATGAACAGTTCTAAATATCAGCCAATATTGGCACAAAACCTTCAGGTTTCTGCTAGAAAGCTGAACATGTAGAGGAACTTCATCTTCCAGCATGACAATGTCTCAAAGCATACATCCAAATCAACAAAGGAATGGCTTCACCAGAAGATTAAAGTTTTGGAATGTTCAACTGAGTTGTACAGTTTATAGGTTACATTAAAGGTGGAAAACGTTCTGAAATGATTTCTCTTTGTCTCATTTTTTTACATCACAGAAACCTGACATTTTAACAGGGGTGTGTAGACTTTTTATATCCACTGTATACACAAATGTTTTACCTTTCATTTCTATTTTAAACTGAATGCGTTGTTTTACAAGGTGAGGGTTACAATCACTTTATTATGAAATGATTCTACTTTTGTGCTCATTTACCTTACTGAGGTTTTAAGAATGGTGTTAAGCTTTTCTTTACTTGTTGGAACAGTCAACTTACGTACCTTTAAAGGCAATTTAAGTTTCACACTTTACAACTTATATTCTCCATAGCTATATTGACAATAAATGCAACAGGAAGGCAGCTTGGAGTGACTGTGAAGGTGTCCATGCTACTACTGTATTACTTATGTTACTATTCTCAGTTCATTGACAGCTAAATTAGGGAACTTATATGCACATATTTCTAGAGCTTTTAAATGGAAAATTATTTAAATGTTGTTTGCAAGCCTAAGAAGCTTAGGCAGTACATCTTTTTTCAGTCTGAAAGCTGGTGTAGACTTTACTGGCAGGGAAAGGGATGAGAATAATCTGTACAATGTGAGGATTAAAGTTAATTCCACATTAATGGCATGCAGCAGGATAATGACTACAGTCATGTTGCAGATTTGAGTCAACTGTCAGCCAGATACCATACAACACCACACTATTGTGACAGCACTGTTATTATTTCCATGATTCAGACTAATGAATAAAGAAGCATTATGGATGCAGTGGCATGTCTTCAGATTAATAAAAAATAAATCCAGTTTATTTGTTTAAAAAAAAAAATATTTCTCAATGCTAATTAACAACTTCGAATAATACATGTTCTCAAATATTATCAGCACATGGTGTGCATATAAATCTAATTGGTGTTTTAGTAATGCAAAAAATATAATCCAAAATTAAACTGATTCAAATCAAAAGATGCTTTTAATGGAAACCTGCACAAAGGAAATAAGACATTGCTGACCTCCTTCTAAGAATACTAGTTGCCTGGCTGTCTCCGGCTTTAGATCTTTCTCAACCACTGGTCTGTTATATGAACGTAAATTAGAAAGTCAGAATGAAGTCACTCATGGTCACTATACTGGTTCCAGGTTAGGGAATAAGAAGGTGTTGAAGCCATTGAATCATTTACTGCCAAGTAACTAGTATTTTATGAAAGAATAGGTTACCAGTGGCAGCCCTTATACACTGTTAGTACAGATTTCCTTTAAAGGATAGCATCATACCTCATAATAAAACCTGTAATTGGGTGGAAAGAACGAATCAAATATGTAGGATGGAGAGATTGTGTTATATGCAGGAAGACAGGATGGGGTTGTTCTTGAAGAGGAGGAGAAAATGGGAAGAATTTTATGGTGAAATATATGAAGTAACAATGTGAGAAAGATGGAAGTATTTATATATTCTATACTCTAGTTGTGAAAAGAAGTAATAGAACATTGCAGAGTGGGTGGGTTTACATGGGGGGAGGGAGGTTTTATTTAGGTAGGAGGGGAAATTAGAGGGGGGGAGGTAATGGGAATAAAGATAGTAAGAAATGTAAATAATGATATGGAAATGGTTTTTGAATGAGAATAATGATGAAATATGTATTATATATGGAAAATAAATAAAAATTAAAAAAAAATAATAATAATCTACACTCAGTACACCATCATGACAAAGTTAAAACAGAAAAAAAAAGAAGGGAATAAGAAGGTGTTGAAGCCATTGAATCATTAACTGCCAAGTAACTAGTATTTTATGAAAGAATAGGTTACCAGTGGCAGCCCTTATACACTGTTAGTACAGATTTCCTTTAAAGGACAGAGTCATACCTCATAATAAAACCTGTAATTGCAAAACATTACTTACGTTCTTACTATTCTCTCTTTACTTTCTTCAATTAGAATTGGCTGCATACATATTAATAATAAAAATGTATTCATATTATTTGCATTATTAATCAAAATGAAAAAGACTCTCATACTTATTATACATTCTTTACAAATATGGCTATCTGCCACTAGAAACATTAATGTCACAGAGAAAGGGCTGAATAGCTATATAGGGTTGTTTAAAAAGGCAATAGAATGGGCACCCTTACACCCCATTCTTCCCCAGTGTTTACTTACCTATCTTTCAATCCTTCACCACTTTGTTGAACACCTTAGAACAGAAAGAAATACCTGGTACTTTCAGGAATGGAGCTGTATGTGACAGTTGGCCAATCAGTGCATTCACAGAGGGAGTCATCCATAGCCCTGTATAAGATACTACTCTGTTGATTCTTATACAGAGCTTTACTTTCACTTCCAGCAGCTGAACAAAGTGACTCGGCAGCAAAAATAAGGTAATTATTAGCTGTTGTGAAGGCTGCCCTGCATGACCAAAGCACAGGTTTACTCTACATCATTTATTATGCACTGCAAAATGTGTATCAGGTTCCAAAACATTATTAATAATATTTACTTGTACACCAGTGGGCTGACCAAGAGCAATGACAGCAGGATGTTTTCTTGAAAGGACTAATCTGCCTGTGGCCTGATCATGTGGACTAGCTCACTCATTTAAATAAACCAGTCCTGGATCACCAATGACTAACAAATTCCTGCTGTTGATGCTACAGATTAAGCTTTTAACTTTATTCTGTCCCCCAACTTCCAAAAAATTGATACCTGGTAACATTACCAACGCAGTCTCTCCTGGCCTATTGGGGGGCTTCGGCAGTATAAAGGTGGAAAATAATATTTTCACAACTCAACTACAGCAGCAAAAATTCTGTTTGTTACAGTGTAAATTCTGCAATTGCAGATTATTCTAGTGCTTTGACTTTGGCTATTATTACACTCAAAATATTTCTTCCTATTGTCTCTCATATATTAGACTATTTCCAGGTAAAACCTGCTGTCACTTTCCCTCTTTATTTGTGACCTATTGTCAGCTTTCAGCTAATACACTCTAATTTGTATTTCAAGATAAAATCTGTCTGGTCTCTCCCTCTTTATTGGCTTACTGAGATGCTTACATACTGTCCAGCCACTAAACAATATTTATGATAATTGTCTCTCATAGAATTTGCTCTAGTTTTCTATTTCAAGCTCCTGCATCATCTCTCCCTCTAAAAATGTGGCCTAAATAAGCTGCTTACATATTGGCCAGCCACTTTAAAATATCTTTGATTATTGTTTGTCAAATAATACACTGAAAAATGTATTTCAAGATAAACACTGCCCCATCTTTCCTTTTTATACTATGGCCTGACCAAGCTGCTTAAATATTGTCCAGCCACTATAAAATATTTTTAGCTATTGTCTCTCAGATAATACACTCTAAATTAAATTTCACCATAAAACCTGCCTCGTCTCTTCTTCTTTATTTGCAGCTCAAACAAGGTGCTTATAAACTGTCTGGCCACTAAACAATATTTTTAGCTGTTATTTCTCAAATAATACTTTGGGCTCCATTCACAAAGTGGTATCTTACTGCAGTAAGATAACGCACAGTTTTTCAGAATTTTTTTT